TAATTATTATTTATACAGAAATTTGATAAGTAGTTGTGCACTTGGCACCTGTAAAGTGCTTGCCAGTCATAAAAAAGTTAAATAATTTGTGTGACTCGCATGTTATTATGCAACCTGTAACCAATAAAGTCACTGACCCACAAGCAAGTTGGTACGTAAATAATTTACAAAAATATATTTAAACTCATTTTATGGACTCCATTTGTAATTCTAGAGTTAAATAATTTCCAGTGGTATTATTTAGAAATTAGTTACACAAGAGTTATCTGTTCTAGCTGTGCTTAATTTTTAACTGATACACACTAAAAAGAAGACAGCTAGTCAACACACCTATCACCAAATATTGGGCTACTCTAATAAGACAGTAACCTTTCACCATCACTCCCATAAATCACCTATGTCCCTGAAGTTTGGAGCATGTTTTTGCAGTAACAGACAACAAACCATGGACCCTTGGATTCAGCATCTGGTACACCTACCCCTAAGCCACACCTTACCCCACATTTCTAGTGACATTCTAAAAAAATGTTTTAATTTTTCAGCCAAAGACACATCTATAAATCTAGCTTATACAGGCGACTTAGCTATGATTTTCTTTTTTGCAAGAAATTATTAAAGTCTTAACCCCAATCATCTTTAGAGAAATAAAAATATAATTACAGGTTAGAAAAACTAAAATAAATTTGATTTTCTAAAAGATAAAAGTGGATTAGATAAAGTGATGTTCTTATTTTCTGTTACAAATTTTTAATACTGTGATCCACCTGAGCATTCCATTCACATGAAAATAAACCTAGTAAAACCTGAAATTTTAAAATATTTATTCTTGGAGAATTGGTCAAGACACACATTTAATAGAAAATTATTTTGGAATAGATGTATAAGAGTACATATTTGACCACAAAATACTGATTAAACACTTCTTGAAATAATACAGAATTTCAATATCATTTAATATTTAATTAATTAATATAACATAATAACAATTGTACATGTATATCCAACTTAAGAGAACAGAGAAAAATACAGCCAGCTACAGATTCACCAACTGACATTGTTACGATGTAAGCGTGCACAAAAATACTTACATTTAACAAACTAAAGAAAAGTAAAATAAAAAGCTTGCAAATGCTACTTATCAAAACCCAAACCAAAGTCAAACAACCACCATACACACTTGTCTTACTGAGATCCAAAATCCGAGCTAAAGCACTCTGGAGCAAAGTGAGCCACTCTGAACCACACAGTTTGTTCCTTGTGAAAGGTGAGGTGCAGAGAGATTTCAGACTTTGCAATGTGGTGCTTACTGGAGGCGAGGCTACCACTAATCCTCTGTCTTCAGTAGTCTGAACAGCTGTTTCTTTTAGTACTCCTGTTGTCAAGTAGAGAATGGTCGGGAGGACAGTGGTGCTACCTGGAAGTTGAAACAATTTTCTAAGTGGTGTTAGGGTCACATTCAATTCTCATGTTTTTTTGTGTGTTAATTTCACATTTAAGCTGACCGGCTCCTCTGACATACAGATTTTTTTAATTCTAATGAAAAACACGAGCATTTATTTCTTTTATTTCATGATTTATATTTTATACAAATCAAAAATTAAAATTTACATTGCCTTTACATGAAATACACAATTTACGTCCAGGAATAATTCAGGAAAAGAACCAATGCACTCAGTTTAACCCGACTGGTTTTGTCAGCTGAGTACAATGTTTTTGAACATGGAGACACTAAACAAGTAAATTGGTTCATTTGACTCACCAGGGGCACTTTCAGGGTTAAACATCCTAGCAACACAATATTCTTATGGCAGTTATCATTTTGTTTGAAACTTTCTGGCATAAAGACAAAGTTTTATTACTAGTTTGAAATAAGGAATCTTTTTAGCACATCAAAGTACGAATAAAGGTGCAACAAACTAATACTGTATGTAAGTTTTCTGTACAAAACCTAATATTTCCCCAAAAAAAGACATCTTAAACAACGTAATGTATGAAATGTAAAGATGATGCCTTGACTTTCATATTTCCAATATTAATATAATGCTGTAAACCTACCTTTGGGCGAACAAAGGTTTGGAAGTTCAGCCATGACACTCAGAGTAGCAGCAACCAACTTTGAAGATTCTTCTGTCAACTTTTTGGATCGTGTGGCTGCCTGAATGCCAAACGTGCCTGTATTGTTAGCTAGTGCAGGACTGATATGAGGGAGCTGCCTGACTAACAAACACAGACACACCTCGAGTAGAGCAAACACTACTGACTGTCCCGGTACTATGTCACCAGTTTCACCACCTTCTCCAAGTGCAGCTAATGCTGTGTCAACATCTTCTAGTTCTTGATTAGCAGGGGCAAGCTCTATTGTTATTTTTATTAGAAAACAAATATCACAATTTTCAGTTATAAATCAACTGCCACATACACTTAGTTCTTTGTAACAACATTAATGAAATACTATATTTTAATTCCTAAGACTGTAATATTTTCATTATAGTCGAACTTTGTATACTGCCCAGTTAACAAATTAATTAGTATTTAATATATGTATCTTAATATTTAACAATATATATATAAACCTTTCAGTTTCTTCTTTTTATGAGAACGAATGTCATCATGTCTTGCTTCAAGCAAAAGATGGGCAATTTTCATCACAATCATCTGGCATCGGGGAGTTTCCCGGGTAAGCAAAATTCTAAAGAAAAAAACATGTACTATGACAGCCACTCATCAATTTTTATTATAGGAATGGTATTGGTAAGAACATTTTCAAGTTTTCGGTGAAAGCAACAACCTAAATAATTGTATCTCTTTTAAAACCACGATATTTTTAATGAATGAGCATTTCTTAGTTCAATATCTTTTATTTGAATCTCATAAGTTCAGCTGAAAATTTCTTGAAGATACATATTTTCTTTTACTTGCATCTATTTAAATTAGAAGAACTAATACAGATGCAATAAAGCAAGTTTACAAAATACAGACCTATGTAAAACATTACACAGTTCAATGCACAACTGAGGATCCTGGCCAAGAATGCTTTTTGGCAATGGATGTTTCAAAAGCAGCTGTAATGCTTGTAAACAGACAAGTACACATTCTAGGCTTTCTGCCGACCGAGGACTACACAGTGCCTCCATACAGATACCTAAAAAAACCAGAAAGAACCTGTACATAAATCTAAACTGTAAGTTTAAATTATTCATAAAATAATATAACCAAAACATATAATTAAAACCTAAAAATCTTTCAATTTTGATTTTTTTTGCAATTCCATAAAATCTAGTAAGGAACAACAGTAAAGTAGTATTCGTAGCATATATTTCCAAATTTTGGTATTTTTTGAATTTGGAGCAAAGCTACACATGAGCTATCTGCACTAGCCATCCCTAATTTAGCAGTGTAAGACTAGAGGGAAGGCACCTAGTCATTACCACCCATCACCAACTCTTGGGCTACTCTTTCACCAACAAATAGTGGGATTGACTATCACATTATAACACCCTCATGGCTGAAAGGGTGAGCATGTTTGGTGTGATGGGGGATCCAAATTCTGCATTTTTTAAACTTACAAAAGGGTATTTTGATGTACGTTTACAGTATTTACGTTTAAAAATTTCTTACAACCAGTTTTCAAAGAAATAAGTTTCATTAATAAATTAAAACATGTATCCCATCAATACTGTTCCTAGTTGTCATTAGGTAGTGACATAAAAGCTTTTCTAATTACTGACTTAGTGTTTATTTACAATGTATATCTTTAAAAAGGATAATGTTAATAATAAATTGTGCTTGACTACACAAATATACACAAGTAATCAACTCAAGGTTATCGGTCACAATCTGAAAAATACCAATAATTCATTAAATGAATCTATACATTGCTCAGTAATTTATACATATCAAAATGTTTTTAGCCATGGCTTAGCGGATCATAGAATGGCTCCGAGTTTTTCAAGTACAAACTTTTAGCTTATAGCTCCATCATCTCTTGACAGATTTGAGATCTAATTACAGTTTTGGACTCAGAAGACCCAACCCTTTTGATTGATATATTTGACCATGCCCAAGGTCTCATAGGTTAATTTACTCTGATCGTGACTAAAAGAATTTCAATTTGAGGGTAGACTGGTAGAGATCCTGAGGAGTAATAAAATTGATTCGGGTATACACACACAACCAATGTTTGGTATTACTAGAATTCTGCCTAAATAGATTTCAAGTGCCAAGGCTACCGAGGATTCCCTCGTTTTCAAGCAGAAACAAGACATCATTCATCAAATTTCTACATTCAAAATGTAACTACAATAAAGGGTAAACTTTCAATACTCTCACACTGTAAAACATTTACTACATTTTATGTATCGAAACGTTTTAAAATTGTCGACCTAACAATCACTGCTCCTGTCTTTGAAAAGCCTACGGTTAATGAGATATTACTTCAAAGAAAATTACATAGTGAACAACAAATTATATTTAACACATTATGAAAAATGGATTTACCAATTTCAAAACAAGCCTCTATACATAGCACTGTACAATATTAGGATCCGGCACCACGAAAAAATCGGCCCCGATATAGCCGTGCCTTTTTATTTATTTATTACCGATTTGACAACTGACTATTTTTACACTTTCTAGTGTAGTTAATATGCATCGTAAGCAGAGTGCATGAGATTAATGGATCACAATGGTGATAAGCATGGCATGTTCCTTTCTTTCGTTTTATTATGTTCATCCCATACTCTGCCAGTTACTACTGTTTCCATGCTTCCTGGTATACGATTGAAAGTTGTGTTAAAATCATCTCAACTAATGTAGCTAAACTGTTTACTAATAATTATTATTGAGCTTCATGTACTTTTTCGATTACATATTTCATAATTTCTTTTCGGCAAAAGTTTTAGTAAAATATCCCACTTTTTCGCGGCCGCGGGTCTTAAAAAAGCTTCGTCCTCCACCATTTATCACTTTTAGTAAAGGTTTTTACACATGCTAGGTGTGGGAGTTATTTTCTTGGGTTTATGTAGATAATGGAAGAGTATGTGTCATTTGATGTCACTAAGGAAGTAACGACAAGTAAAACTGAAATGTCTGTGATACTTATATACAAATCAAAATGAATACAGTAAAGGGTTTCAGAATCCCTCAAGGGCATACTCAAAAACCCTGGAAAGTTGTCATGGTGATAATAAATCCAGAATTTAAAACAATGTTTGTCACAAGTTGCTTTAAAAAAACAGATGAACATGCGATTTTAATTAGTTCTGTACTTGAATACAACTGGAGGTTAGCGCATTGTTTGAACATGCCAAATATACACCTACTACTTACCCACCCTTGTGTTTTTAAGTTCAATACTTAGCAACCAAGTATTACACTGTATCAATGTCTAGATTAATAATTTAATCATCTTTCTAACCCCTACACATTTATTATCTACTAACCAAAGAGCAGATGAAATCTCTCAGAATTAGGATTTGAAATAACTTTGTTCATAGGGCTTCCAGGAGGTCCTAAAATTGTTCCGCTGTTGTTTGCATCTTGCTCAAACTCTCGTTCAAGACCTTCAAACCCTCCTGTGCAGAGCCAAAGAGCTGCAGCATGAAGGATGGGTGGCCAGGCCTTTCGATAATACTGTCGAGCAGAATCCATAGTATCAGGGGTGTAAAATGCTCCTCCGTCATGGGGTAACTGACTGGAAAACTCTGTTTAAAAAAATATGGGAAGAAAATACTAGTTCCTCAAGGTTACTTTTTGTTACAAGTATGTCTAGTATACTTTTCCTTTAACATTTTGTTTGTGATTCACCCACATTACCAGAAAATGAAGTGTTGTAAACTACAGATGAACCTAGTGCTCTTGTTGAATTGAATTCTCTATTATTTCTTCTTTTTTTTTTTTAATAAGTGAGTTTAAGATAAAAATTAACAAAATTATAATGAATCTCAGTTATGAAAATTTGGAACAAAAACAATAATATTAAAAATAATATATCAACAAGTCTTATTCAAGCATTTCAATAAAATACAGCAACTCACAGTCGTGTTTTACACTTACAGGGTATATATATATATAAAATCCTGCTATTTGATTTCTTAAAATGTTCATATAAAGCTACATAAGGGCTATTTGCACACATACTCATCCCTAAGATTCAACTGATACACTAGAAAGAAGGCATCTAGTGAATAGCATCCATTACCAGTTCTTGGCCTATTTATATCTGATCAAATAGTGGGATATGACTGTAATTCTTATATTGCACCAATACTCCCTAGCAGTGGGTCATGAACACCATAAACCTTCCAATATATATAGTCTGAGCATGCCAACCACTAAGCCACACCTGTCCCAGAGGAAACCTTACCTGCAGGAAGTGAGAGTAATGCATGATCCTTTAAAGCAGCAAGCCAGTGCTTGCTTAAAGATACAAGTTCAGGTGTTACAAGCTTTAAGAGACTTTCTTGTCCACAACTGCCATCATCATCGTTTTGAGGTTCCTCTTGGGATGGTGGCACATTGCTTAGTTGTTTTTCCTGTTCCATTGCAACAACAAAAACCTAAATACAAAAAAAAAACAAGTATTAATAAGTTATAATTTATGGAACTTAATTGTGACT